TATATAATAATAATCTATGTGTCTCTATCGCAGGGTTGATATGGTCTGAAATCAAGCAGCTCTGGGATGAAGGGGTCACCGAATATGCTAAAGACATGTGGAATATACTAGATTTCATCACCAACGCTCTCTATCTAGCCACAGTTGCATTACGAACATGTGCTTATTTCATGGTAAGTCAAAACTATTCCGATACTTTGTCATTAAAAATGGATAATGCTCTAAAGAATATGATACAAACATATAACACGCACGCACGCGCATACACACACACACACACACACACACGCGCGCGCGCGCAAGCACGCACGCACACACACACACACACACACACACACACACAAACACACACACACACACACACACACACACACAAATACACACGCACACACGCACACACGCACACACACACACACACACACACACAAATACACACACACACACACACACACACACCGACAGTGATGCATGTTGACACGCTCCGGCTATGAACTGTTCATTTTCTAAACATTGTTGTTAACGCGGCGTAACTTGAAATATCACACATCACACCGCTGAAGTGTAGTTTAGGTAGCTCGGATAGCGTAGACTGTAGAAGGAACCGCACACCACAAGCGAGAGAGTCGGTCTATTGACTGCTTCGTCATTCATTAGCACCGCAATTCATTGGCTGCCACACGTAGTTCAATTTCATTAGTTCGCTTTATTAAGCTGAAGTCTACTAGCTGACAACTTCGTATCTGAAATTCCTTAGGTGTCTAACCTTAGGTTTCTTTACCACTTAGCTGTCAGTCATTCGTCAACATTGAATACACCCACGAAATGCGTACAGACAGCACGTACGCACGCACCCACGCACGCACGCACGCACGCACACTGCACAAACACACGCACACTGAGATATAGAACCCTGCGCGTGTGTGTGTGTCCGTGCGTGTGTGTGTGTGTGTGTGTGTGTGGGTGCGTGAGTGTGTGTGTGTGTGTGTGTGTGTGTGCGTGCGTGCGTGCGTGCGCGTGTGCGTGTGTGCGTAGCGTAGCTTCGCGGACCGCTCTATGCCGTCACTTTCTCTCTCTTACATCATATCACACATCGACCGTCTGACATTCACAACCGCCACCCCCTTCCTTCGGTACATTTCACCCGGTTGTTTTCTCCTTCACGCTTTTTTCAAGGTGCAAGCGGAGAAGCAGAATGGCAGCTACGACCTGGCGTTTGCTCCGAGGAAGGACTGGGACGCCTACGACCCGACCCTCATCTCCGAGGGTCTCTTCGCCGCAGCCAACATCTTCAGCTCCCTCAAACTCGTCCACATTTTTACCGTCAACCCTTACCTAGGTGAGTGCGATACTGTCTGAGAGAGATAAGCCTTCGATGTCGTTGTTAGATCGGTGTTAAGAGAGACCAGAGTGTGTATGTGTTTCTCACGCATGCGCATCATGATTTGCGGCCCTTCGTTACTAAGCAGTGTTTTTATCACACTCAACGCATTATTATATAGCAGCACTAATTGTGTGGCCTTACCCATCAATCACTCTAAGCGGACAGATCGATTTCACGTAACCGCTAGCCATCGACAAGTTATGGACAACACGATCTGGAGCCCATTATACATCGATATTTGTCTTATTGCCGTATGAGGATTATTCGTCGCAATTGTACACGATTTTGGTCCTAAAAGATTATCTTGCGCGATCTCACGCAATTCGTGGCGGTTGTCGAGTCTGGGTGTCTCACAAACAAAATTAGTCTTTACATAGTCTTAACATGAACTTTCGCTCACAGACGCTTGTTAGAAACATGGGGAAGTTACGAGTTTCTCGTATGCAGTGTATAGAAGTCCAGTCTATGAGAAGAAGTTCGCGTTAAGACTCATGTTAAGACTAATTGTGTTGCTGACAACGAGCTCCTAAATCCCAGGTGACGTATCGCAAGGTGATGTGCCTCAGAGAAATCCCTGCGTGCTTTCTACATACACACACACACACACGCACACGCACACATACACACACACGCAACGCAAACGCACAGCACACGCACACACACACGCCACCCGCAGCGCACGCACGCGCCACGCAACACGCGCACGCGCACGCATACGCACACGCACGCCCACGCACACGTACACACACTGCACACGCACACGCCACACGCACACGCACACACAACAACATGCGCAGCGCGCAGCAACACGCGCACACACACGCACGACACCACACGCACAACGCACGCACACACACACACACACACACACCACACACACACACGCACACCACACGCACACCACACCCACACACACACGACACACACACACACACACGCACACGCACACGCACACGCACACACACCACACACACACCACAACACACACACACACACACACACACGCGCGCAGGCGCGCGCGCGCACACACACGCACAGCGCATACACACACGCACGCACACCACACGCTCACGCGAACGCACACGCATACGCACACGACACACACACACACACACACACAACTACCCACCACACCACACAGAATGCCACACACACACACCACACAAACAGCACACGCACACACCCACACACACACACACACACACACACACAACACACACACACACCACACACAATACACACGCACGCACACGTAACACACACGCACACACACACGACACGTACACACACGGCATAGTTATTTCGGCTGTAATTATTTCTGGCGCCGTCGGTTTGGCTATCTGGAGTTTGCGATAGACATTCGTACACGGACAGCCGGAAGTCTTCGCGTAAAGTTTTCCGGTTTACAGATGTCGAAATACCGTAAGCGGATCATTATCGGTAGAGGCTCGACACTGAACGCCATGAGGGCTTACCGCGGATGCAACGGCTAGACCAAATCTCTCCGTCTTTGCGCGGGGAAACCGAGAGGAGACTTTCAGTTTATCGGCCTGCCGTCATCGAGTGGCGCTCGCTGTCGCATTCTAAAAACACGCTCTAAATAATTCAGCGGGCGAGTGCGTTCGCTGCGCGGACGAAACCGTGCGTTGCGTGGATTTGCCCGCAGCCGGTCGCCGAGTCACTGCTCACTCACGCCATCTTATCACAGCAATAGCTCCCGTCAAGCATCGCGCGCTGAAAGTCATCGGTAATAGATATTCATGTCGAAGACGCGAGAGAGAGAGAAGGGAGAGAAGGGGCAGAGAGAGAGAAAGGAGAGAAAGAGAAAAGATGAAGAGAGAGAGAGATAAAGAGAGAGACGCCAGACAGCGTCGCCACCACGTAATGAAGTCTAATGGTACCAGTCAGAGCGAAATGTCATCCAGAGTGCGGTAGTAGGTAGTAGCAGCAGCAGCAAGTGCAGTACCAGCGAGTAGCGCAGTCAGCAGCAGTAGCAGAGTACAGCAAGCAGCCAGTAGCAACAGCAGCAGCAGCAGTAGCAGCCACGGCAGTAGCAACAGCAGCCAGCAGCAGCAGCAGCAGCAGTAGTACACAGTAACAACTGCAACAGTAGTACAGCAGCAGCAGCAGCAGGCGGCTGCGGCGGCAGCAACCAGTAGCAGTAGTCAGCAACAGCAACAGTCGCAGCGTTGTTTTGTAACGGTGTTTCTCCTAATACTTGCAGGTCCGTTGCAGATATCTCTCGGTCGGATGGTCTTCGACATCATGAAGTTCGCACCTGCATCTACTCTCGCTGTCGTGTTTGCCTTCGCTGCGGACTGACGCAGCTATACTGACCGTAGTGCCCCCCAACACACACACACACCACACGACACACACACCACACACACACAACACACACACACACACACACTTCCACACACCACACCACACACACACACACACACACACACACACACACATACACACACACAACGCCTGCGCGCGCACGCGCACGCGCCGGCACACAACACGCACACGCACACCACCACGCACCACGCACGCGCACACGCACACTCACACACGCACACACACATACACACATAGACACACACACACGCACCAGCACACACACACACCACACACACAGCATCGCACACATTACACGCGCACACGCACACACTCACTCACTCACGCACATGCACACACACACTCACACACACACACACACTCACTCACACACACACGCACACGCACACGCACACGCACACGCACACGCACACGCACACGCCACACGCACACGCACCGCCCCCCCTCCCACACACACACACACGGATAGTTATTGTCGTCTGTTTTATCTGCTAGCGCCGTCGCCTGGATGTTATCAAAAGTAGATAATAGGGATTCCCTATTATCTACTTCTGATGTCATCATGTAGAGCTGCATGATTGAGTGCAGCGACAATGGTCACGTTGTAGCGACGTTTGATTGTAAGCAGGGTTTGTCCGATGTTTCATAATTATGGATTGTAAAAACAACGGGACGTAGGCGTGTAGCTATGCCAACGAGGTTTCCGATTTGTAATGCAACGATAGCGGCGGGAGAGTGAGAGGGAGAGAGAAGGAAAGCGATGGGGAGTAGTGGCAAGGAACAAAATTGCGACGTAGCGAGTTAGGAAGAGAGAGAGAGAGAGTGCGAGAGAGCTGGTGAGAGGGAGAAAGCGACGAGAAAGATATAGAGGGAATCGCTAGGTAGATAGCTAGATAGATAGACAGACGAATAGAAGACGAACGGACGAACGGACGGATGGACGGACGGACTGACTGACGGACGGACGGACGGACGGACGAGACGGACTGACTTGAACGGACCGGAACGACGACTGAGGAACGGACCGACGAACTGACTGACTGAGGACGAGCGGACGGACGACGGACGGGACGGACGGAGCGAGGACGACGTGCCGGGCGGACAGACGGCGGGACGGAGGACGTACGGGCGGACGGACGGACGGACGGACGGACGTACGGACGGACCGACTGACTACATTATGCACACTCTCCATATTTCATCGCCTACTTACACGCGTACGCCTACGATTTGCTTAACTGAATGCGGAATAGACATGTCCATTAAGGAAAGAAAGTCCGTAAGCAGTGCGGATCGCGTGTTGAATTCAGTCACGTATTCGCATGCATGCCTAATTCGCATGCGCTCTTTAACCCTCGTATAAATCTCGTCACTCGTGTTTCATTTCCGGACAGACCTTGCTATGATGGACTTCCGGCTAGAAACGTTTGCCTTCGTGAATTAGCGCCAATCCTTGCCGATAGGTGGTGACAGCCGCGGCAGTTTCTCCACGCGTCTATGCGTGTGGGAGGAAGGTCGTCGGTTGAGCGGTTATAGGTACATGATCACAAACCGTCGCCATCGTTTTATTCTACATCGATCACGTTCGCTTGATTCAAGTGTCCGTACCAATGCTAACTGATAGAAGGTGGCTTGTCCACGGGGACGGAGACTCTTCGCGGGTCAAACGAGGCCGTACGGCAGCTGCGAGTTATAATGCTCGCACGGTCTGAAATAATTCTGTTTTAATCTTACGGCCCTTATGCTGCGCGTGTTTGGATACCGCATCACCCCGACTCTTTACACTCAGAAGTACATCCATATATACCGAGATATAAATAGGAGATTCCCAATCTAACTCCTGATATATACATACATACACACACGCAAACGCACACACGCACGTACGCACACACACACGTATACACACGCACGCACGCACGCACGCTACACGACAACATACACACACACACACTACGGCGCGGCAAAGCGCAGCACACGCAGAATACGCATCATACATGCACGTGCGCGACACTCACTGCGCATACACACGCATCGGCACGCACGCACGCTCACTCACGCGCACGCACCGCACGCACGCCACGGCGCCGCGCGCACACACACACACACACACACACACTTACCCCACAGAGAGAGAGCCGGCACATGCGTACCGTATCGTGCGCATCTTCTTTCACGAGTGCAAATAGTGTTTATTTTTTTACTCGGGAGGAGAATAATAGCATATATGGCGTATATACGGGATGACGTTACGTAGACGAATCGAGCCAAATTGATCTTTGCCGTCGCGAGGTCATTTCGCGAGCTCACAGACTGTTTTGCTGCCTAGCAACGCAGCCTCCGTTGACGCTAAACTGTCCAACAGTTAACTCGTAAACGGGTAATCAGTTTACGTGCTCGTGGATTCTATGTGTTACCGCGACGTAGAATTACGAATGGACACGGTATAATGTTTGGGAAAAGAGATCCGCTAGGGGGAGCCTGTGCGATAAGTGCACTCGCAACGAATGGTTAACCGAGTTTATCCGAAATATAGACGACTAGGCGTGAGAACGGTGGACGAATATTGTTCAATCTAACACGATAAGGTCCAGATGCGATTTTGCGCCCGTAATACTGTTCGGTAAGTGTGCTTGGGAGTCGGGAGATCTAACAGGCACTACGCGTGTGCAATCTCGCCCGCCCACCTCTACCATCCTCCTAGGTCATGCTGGAAGTTGATTAGAGAATGCCGACACATTTTTACCAATATCATTAAGCTGTGTGTATGCAATACGTGTATGATGCAATATTTATAAGCTGTAACTGATATGCAGCTGTAATAATGATGTACTGATACCTGCTGCACATTTGCAATGTTGATGTTGCCGTACGTCCTATACAAACCTAACATTAAAATACTCGCACGCGCTTCACATTGGTTCTGTTTATACATGTAAATCGGATTCACAAATTTAATGCGGATATATTTTCGTGCTTCATATACAAACACCTGCGATATTGCTATACTTGTACGCTATACACACGTGTGATATCGGTGCACTATAACATCAAGAGTGTATTAAGAAGGCGTATCTCCTTCTTTATACGCTCTTGATAACATCGCATACGCACATGTGACAACATATTCGCGCCTTTTACAACTTTTAAGCTTTTTACCATTTTTCGCGTTTTCTAACTTGTAGGTACTACGCCACGATGCGAGCGGAAGAGTGTGCAGCGGCCTTGAAACTAGGAGAGGTAGACCATGACTCGTGCCAAAAAAAATACAAGAGCTTCCTCAAGTAAGTACAGCCGCCTGGAGGTCCGCTATATACTCCCTATCCTCGTCTTCATCTCAGCATTATCGGCAATGACGCGCATGGCTGGGTTTATGATTTCATCAATCGCCAGTTGATATCGATCGCGTTGATTCATCAGTGGCTAGACTAACACTTATGGCTTCCGCGTGTATTGCTCTGTATTTATTTTTGTACGTGTGTATATACTTATCCGAATGGCTTCTTCTGATGACATCTGCTACTGACAATAGGTAGAATGTCGATCTGGGTGTGTGTAGCGTACGCTAGATGTCAGATGTGGCTTAATAGCTGTTTGACATGAGATCGTATTGCACATAGTACGCTCAGAGCTTGGCGAGGGGTAGAGAAGGAGGGGATTGAATATAGAGAGATATAATACGAGTGCTGTTTGTAGAGATGTTGAGAGAGTAGCGTGCTGCGCTGAGTAGGATGAGAAGAGAGAGAAGAGAGAGGGAGAGAGTGAGAGCGTGAGAGAGTAGTAGATATCGATAGAAGATATATATATGATTAAATATATTTAGAGAGAGATAACCCGATTATCTAACGCTATATACTCTATCATCTCGTCTATCATATCTATCTATCTATCTATCTATCCTTAATCTATCTATGGCTATCTATCTATCTGTCCTAATCCTATCTATCTAAATCTAGTTTATCTACCTATCTATCTATGCTATCTATCTATGCTACTATCTATCTACTGCTATCTATCTATCTATCTGTCTATCTACTAATCTATCCTATTTATCTAGCCTATCTATCTATCTATCTATATTCTAATCTATCATATATCTTATCTATCTATCTACCTATCTAATCTATCTATTAATCTATCTATATATCTATCTATCTATCTACCTATCTACTATCTATCTATCTATCTATCTATCTATCTATCTATTCTATCTATCTATCTATCTATCTATCTTATGCTAAATCTATCTATCTATCTAACTATCTATCATATCTATCGTATCTATTCTACCTATCTACTATCACC